GATTGCAGTGATGGGCTTACAAACCAAAAATTGTCAAGGATTGCCAATAATGCCAGAGAAAAAGTAAAAGCACAGTTGAATTGCACCCTAGACCTATCACAAACAGTAAAGCTCAGCTCTTGTTTTGTTTTGTTTTGTTTTTGCCACTAGAGTTTGTACTTTATTTCAGCAGTGCTAAGCAATTAAAACAATGATATATCTGGTATTTGCTTCATAGATCAATTTATTGTGTGAGGAAAGATTTTTTTTGTTTAGTTTTATGATACTTCAATAGAGAGAATAAAATAGAAAACAATCAAATAGTGAAGAGAATATCATTACCACTGTGTTAGAAATATAGATCATTGATCTCGGGTGTGTGTTTTTCATCTAACATGATTCAATTGGCTTTTTTTTCACAGCTGGAATTTGTACACAGAAACCTTATTAATGGGTTAAATTTTTTAAGTTACAATCTAATACATGAGAGAATACAAATAGTGCTCTACTTTTGGAATTGTTTTATAAAAGATGCTTTCAAATTCACTTTGGATGTATTTATTTTACGTGGGCTGATAATATATTGCTAGAAGGGGAAATCATTCTTGAATAAGAAGAATGGTCATGAGTAGAGAGCAAAGACTTCTGACGAGGACTGTGGAGAAAGAGAAACATTCCTTTCATTAAACTAAAGACTAGATCATTCATAATATCAAACACTTTCTTGATTTTGAATTTTATCCATATCTATTTCTTTGTGTCTGACCAAGTGCTTACAATTGTCTTTTTGATATCCTTTACTTGGTCTCCACCAAATGATAGTCAAGGTGTTCTGTGACCCCCAATTCTGCTTGCTCTGCAGCTTGAACAAGAACTAAAAGTGGAGTATGCCCTTTATATCAGCTTATTCTGAGAACTGGTTGACCACAGCGAACACTATTTTCTATTGGTCATTTACATGCTTGCTCACCTTCCCTTTAAAAGCTAGTGCTATTCTTTGCATACCTCTATGTACCCTTTTAAAAAAGGCTTTTCCTGTTAGATTTTGAGATGCTTAATGATTTCTGAGATTTGAGCACTCACCTCATGATCATGTTCTTTTTTCTGAATAAAATCTTTCATTGTCTGTGTTTGTATAAGTATTTCCTTGACATGACAGAGGATCCTTGACCCAAAACCATGCTTTAGTTAAAAGAATTCACATGAGAAAGCTTTACTAAAATTATCTAAACTAGTTATGTAATCAGATTCACTTTAGAATGAATTGCTAGCACCTCTGCCAATTCTTTCTTGGTTCAAGCTCTTATTTTGCTTCTTAAATAACTGTTATAATTTCCCAATGAACTTATTGATTAATGGTCTGTCAGTGCTCCCCATCACCCACTGGCTAGACTCACCCACTGTGAGTCTCCCACTCACCCAGTGGCCACCCACTGTGTAATAGGCCTCAAGAACACATGCAATCACATTACTGCTTTGTCAAATGATGTTCTGACTGCTGATGGCCAGCTCTGATATCCATCTTTATAACTAGGTAATAAGCTGCAACTGCAGAGACTCTGGCTCAATGGTATTTATATTCCAGTGCTATCTCACTGCTTGCTCACAATGAGGCCCAGAAGAAGTATCTGGTGACTTAATGAATACATATTTCAGCTGAACCCCTATTTCCTCAAATAATATCTCAAGTAACAGCTTTTATTTCCCATAGATTTTTCCCAGTCATGCAAAGAGCTCTTAATTTCCATGTCTCTAAGTTTCATGGACAAACTAATTCTATGCCAAGCTATGACTTTTTCTTGCACTACATCAGGGTCTTAAGAAACATTGAACAAATAATGAAAAACTTGTTGAATAAATTTGTATCATTTTTTTTCACTTCTCACTTTTCACATGAGGTTCACTTCTGCATATTAGCCCACTTGGCTTTTGAATTTGAATGTTATTCACCTCCAAAACTAACATTTGTTAATACACCTTAATGTAAACCAAGCAAAACATAGGGATACAGTAATATTCCCTGAAAAATAAAACAAAACAAAGCAAAACAACCTCAGTCACACCAAAAACAGATAGGAAAAAGGAGGGCATTGGGAGAGCATTGATTCTTTTCTAAGAGGCATATTTGCTAAGCACTTCTATGTGCTCCTCCAGTTCTGAGATCATATCCATTTCCTTTTCTTCCCCTTCCTTCCCTGGTTTCACCTTTCATTCAGTCCATCATCAGATCTGATGATTCCTTTTCATAGTCTTCTTTCTCCTGTTACTTTTAAGTCTTTGTATCATGAGCCTATCTCAGGTCCCCTGCCCCTTTCCTTAAATACAGTGTACACATTTCATTCATATTTGTGTCTCTCAAATTATATTCTTAATATATTCTTTCCTTTTTAAAATATAGTCTTTCCTGATCAATTATATTCACCTATTACCTAGTGTCCTGGGAGGAAGTTCAGACTCTTCACCCTGTCAATAATGTGAATTATTTAGACTATATTATCCATGTGCATTCAAAAGTAATTGAAATTTATCAGAAGTATTTCAACTTTGAATTATAGAACTGCTTTTTTTCTGTAGTGATATTTAATCTTTCCTGAATTTTATACTGGAGCAGTGTCCCTATCCTTAATGCTCATCACAGTGCCAAGGTGAAGTTTCTCAAATTCTCTTGTGGTCTGATTCAATTAGGGGCCTTATTAAAATGCAGATTCTGATGGAATAGCTCTGCATGGGCTTCAGACTCTAAATTTCTGACAAGTTCCCAGATGGTGTGTGTGCCACTACTCCAAACATTACATTTTAGAAAGATATCCAGCCACAGATTTAGTGGCAGAGCATCATGGAGTCACAATTACATGCAACTCTATTCACAGGCATTGATGGAATATGTCTGTCAACAGTCTCCCCAATTTTATGAAGTGGTCACATATTGCTATAATGCCTGTTTGTCCATGATTAAAAAGCAGTTTAGAAAAGATAAGGAATGGTTTAAGGTCATGAAACTGGTAGTTGCTGAACCAGAATAAAAAGACACCAGAGCTCCCATTTGAAAATCCCACCTCTAACCATCCCAGGACAGGTGTTTTCTTTTAGAAACTTTTAGATGAGTAAATGCACTTTAGGGGAACTACACCTGCTTATGTTGCTTTAGCTGTTTTGCTTTTGGTTTGATGGCTTGGTTTTATTTATTCTTGTTATAACTATCACCACTGAAATTTCTGGAGAACAAAAATTGTCATTAGATCCTTGGCTGGGTGGTTCAGTTGGTGGAGCATCATCCTTTGCATCATGATGGTTACAAGTTCTATCTCTTGTCATGGGGCACACCTAGGTTGCAGGTTCGATTCCTGATCGGGGAGTTTATGAGAAGCAACCATACCACGTTTCCCTGTCACACGTTAAAGTTTCTCTGTCTCTCTGTATTTCTTTTTCCATTCCACTCTTTCTAAAATCAATATAAACATATTCTCTAGTGAGGATTTAAAAAGTAACAATAAAAATAAGATAAAAGTATTTTTCAATGTCATTAGTTGTAGCTTACCTCTGTAATCCATCCTGTGCTTACTACTCTCCTTCAAATGGTTGAGGGTATGGATATCCCTGTGGATATTCCTGTGGATATCCCTGTGGTTGATATGGATACCCTTCCTGAAAACACAATGACAGAATTGAGACAATGGTAGTGTAAATAATTCACAGTAATTTCAATTACAGTCTGAGTTTTAAAGTTGGTAGAAATTCATGGATCATCTACATGTTTGATTTTTCAAAGTTTTGTTATGTTTTCACTTTATTATAAGAAAAATGTTTAAAGGAAGAGACAAATAGGAAGCCATTTTCAGCTACACTGTTTGTTGACAGTTCTATTCTTTTATAATGCAAGTGAATCCATTGATTATAGAGGAATACACAAATTTTAAATGATCATTAAAACATTACCTCTGAGCTCCTACTTTGCCTATCCTTGAATTTTCCAGTGAGAAGGAATTTGTTAATTTCAGGTTTGGTGGAATTGCTACTTCTCACTGCTGACCTATAATGACCTTAACTGTCTCTTAAAACTCCTACTTTTTAAAATATCCACTGATTCAATTTCAATATCCTATCCCTCTTTCTTCATGTTTTAATTTGTTTCCTTGTTAAAATTCATCTACTTAATATATTAGTGGAATTTTTGAGAACATAGGATATTGATTGACATGGGAAAATAATATGACATTGAGGATATATTTTATTCTAAAAATGCTAGATAAGTGAAATTTTCCATCATATTTAAGAAGATCAGTTTAACTTTTCCTAATGACTTCATCATCCTCCACAAGGATAAAAAGGTGAAAACTTACCACATTATGTTTTTAGGAGACTTTATGCCCTCCCTTAGGCATGTATTATATTTTATAGATTTAGAATCTCATTATTCTTTTTAAAAAAGATTTTATTATTTATTTTTAAGGAGAGGGGAAGGGAAGAAGAAAGAGAGGGGGAGAAACATCAGTGTGTAACCACTCTGACCACGTGACTCTCACGTGCCCCTTACTGGGAATCTGGCCTAAAACCCAGGCATGTGCCCTGACTGGGAATCAAATCAGCGACCCTTTGTTTCTCAGCCTGTGCTCAATCCACTGAGCTACACCAGCAATGGCTAGAATTTCATTATTCTTTGTGTTAGGGTAATTATTTACCAAAGATACTTACATTTTGCTAAATTAATTGGCTTCTTCAGGGCAGCATTATAAGTCTCTATCTAAGTCCTACCAGTATACAACCTGTGGGTCATTTACCAGTATATCATAAAACTTAATATATACTTCATCCACTCACCATAAAGACGTTTCAGAGATAAATATTGATTCTTATGACAGAACAAATAGAGAAGAAAATGTGTTTCATTATACCCCATTATCCGGGAATACTTACATAGTATCTGTCTCTAAAGAAACGATGTTTCTGTTAAAATAGAGAACAAATTAAAATTGTTATCCATGCTTAATGATCAAGCTTTCCAGGAAATGAAAGTGTCTTACCTCTTCAGATGAAGAATCTGCTCCCTTGAAAAAGGAAAAGAAGAAAGAGTGAACATCTAAAATTTATAATTCGATATTGTCAAAAAGGTGTTTAGCTGCCACAATTATGAGCAAACACATGGGGGCAAAGTCTTAGGTAACTGAAACCCTAAGCTAGTTGTTTTATATTTAGTGACATCTTTAACATGAATGAGGACTAGGCTTTGGCTGTACTTAATTTGCTACATTCTCACACCAGTTCCCTTGGGTCCAAATTTCTTTTGTGTGTGATTTAAAAAAAAAAAACCTATCCCTGTGACTAGGATAGTGAAATTGAAACATTCAAGTACGGGTTAGCTCAAGACCAATGTTTTTTAGGTGGGTGTGTTTTAAGTTTCTGAAAAGCCATGTCTGTTTAAATATAGATTGTATAGGTAGTCTGGTATTACGATTATGTTTTCTCTTCTTTGATTTTATTGTTTCTCACATGCACTTTTGTGTGTGCTTAGTGACTCTGAGTGGGCACCTAAGAATTATCCTAAGTCCTTAAAGTACTGATGTAGACTAATTGAAGGAAAATACTCATTCAAAACTTTAGAATTTACAAACCCACGTTCAGGCAATGTATTTATGTTCTTGGCACAACAGAGACATTCTCTGAATAAATAATGAGCACATATGCTCTTAAAAATTTCTGCTATACTTACAATCATGACAAACATGAGAGCCATGATAAAGGCCAAGGCAAGGATCTTCATATTTGGCTGAGTCCTGTGAAAGCACATGTGACAAATCAGTAGCATATTCATTCCTGTGCTTTTATTTATTTATTTTAAAGATTTTATTTACTTATTTTTAGAGAGGGAAGGGAGGAAAAAAGAGAGAGAGAGAAACATCAATATGTGGTTGCTGGGGACCATGGCCTGCAACCCAGGCATGTGCTCTGACTGGGAATCGAACCTATGATGCTTTGGTTCGCAGCCCAAGTTCAATCCACTGAGCTACACCAGCCAGGGCCACTCCTGTGCTTTTAAATCACTTATTGATCAGACTATGATCTATGGCTTTGTGAAACTGGCTAGAGGTGCAGAGTATTCAAACTCATTGCATGACAACATGGAACTTAGAGACAAGTAGGGGACATTGTTGTGGCATAGAGATACTAAAGTATCATGAAACAGAAAAACAGGACATTTCAAAGAGACCAAAAGAGGATGGAAACATGAAAGCAAAGAAAAAGGCAAAGCTTGTGTGAGATTATATAGAATAGGTAAAGAAATACTTGTGGAACCTTCAAAGAAACAATGCAAGAGAGGATAGTATGTAGGAAATGAAATAGTTCTCCAGTTAAGAAGAACAAAAATGAGGACAGGCTGACCATTTAGATGGTTGTGAAATTATAGGGACCTTACATAATGATATATGGAATATTGGTTAAGGCAGAGTTTAAAAAATATTCAGAAGGTAGAATTACAAGAAACAGAGACAGGTGTTATAATAGATCTTGAGAAAATAAGTCAGGTTCTCACTAAAGAACTGTGGAGTTAGTGTAACCCTAGTATTAGAAAAGGAAAGATGATGGATAGAGTCACATCAAATTGATAAAGAAGTTTCAGGGAAAATATTTGTAGATACAATGGTTTTGGTAAAAATAATTAATCTCCAAATTATCTTATTCAATGCAAGTACCCTAATCTGGGCCTCTTTGAGATATTTTTATAATTGAGTTTACACAACGAATTCAGTACGCTTACTGTTATGTAAGAAGTAAAGCAGATTATTTATTTCTCAGTTACAAACTTCTAAATAAAAACATTTTGCAAAGTATAAGGTAAGTAATGATAAAAGCTCTTTTCTTCCTGATCATTTTAGCCATCAGTTTTGATAAAACAATAGAGTAACATCTTTTTTTCCTGATAACAAAGGAAACTGTTTTCCTGCCTAATAACTTTAAACTTTAACATATGAAGCACAGTTCGTGACTGATGGTATTTCCATAGTTCCTTACCTGATGACTTTGCCTCAGTTGTTGAAACTCGGGACTTTGTCAATGGACAAACTGAGAAAATTGTATGTTTCTTGATAACATTTTGAAAATCATCTAATACTTACCCAAATATTCATTCATGTTATGATACAAATAAAGATGAAGCTTTCGGTGTTGTTCATACATGAAATTTTATTGAAAGTAGAGCATTAAGAATAATTCACAGAAAATGGTCTTCTACAGATGGACAGATACCCAAATGGATATTTAGTATCTTGGAAAGATTATCCAAAGAACACAATGTTGAAGTTTAACATAGCATAAAAACTCATTTGAAATAAAATCTCAAATGAAATGAGTATAGATTAAATAAAATAAATTAATAAAAGTCTGTTTCATTAAGTGCTAATAAAGCAGAAAATCATAAACTATTTTAATGATAGGAAGGATGATGAAAAGGTAAATAAAATGAGTTAGTGATGGTACTGCAGTAACTTTGATGAAGGTTAATTAAAGCTTTAGAATAATACATTTGAAAATGAGAGCTTTTGCTATTCTAACAATCGTTTTCTTATAAAATATAACCATGAAACTTAAGTTCAAGGTAAAACAAATGATCACACAGTAAATATTTTATATTTAGTCAAAAGAATAAAAAGACATCTGGGTACCAGCAGAGACCAAGGAGCAGAGCTCCCCCTTTCCCCTCCCCATTCATTCGGTGCAGCGTTGCTGTCAATGCAGAGGCATTGCGACCCTGTCCTCACCTTCAGATCCTGATGTAGGATCACCATTTAAGTATTTCTTCATGAAAAATTATTGGTAAATTCTATACATTTAAAAAATAGTTTACAATTCATTCTAGCAAATAAAAATTAGAATAAGAGATCATATTAGATTGTCCATGAATACATTACCTTTTACCCTAGATGAGACACAAGAGTTCGAGAAGCTGAAATGGCAAAGCCAGAAGAGATGATGTTCTTTTCTAGAAGACTGATGTATTTATATACACTGAAATCCTGCATTTGTTTTTCTAAATTACATCAATTATGAGATCATATTATTGAACTAAAAATAATGCCCAATATCTGTCTTGCAAGATACGAAGAATAAACTTATACTTTATAATAGATGATTGTGAAGCAGAGTCACCAGAAAACACTATACCCTTTACTTGTTAATCCCAGTATTTGTCTAGGTATGCATGAATAAGACAGAGAAAAGTATGCTAAAGTAAGCATGGAAATGACTTGAAATGGTAGAAGTGTTTCCATAGAACACCATCTGCCCTATTTCAACAAATGCATGTGCAAGATGGAAAAAACTCTATGCCCAAAATGATACCATCTTATCAAAATTTTACTGGTTCTCTAATATAGGGTGACAAATGGCATACTAAAATTGAAGCCATTTCATTCAAATGTGGCTCCTAAGATTATTACAATGTATCCTTTTTCTACTGAATCTAGTGTATTTTAAACCTTTTTTAAAAAGGATTTTATGTGTTTATTTTTAGAGAGAGGGTAAGAAAAGGAGAAAGAGAAGGAGAGAACATCAATGTGTAGTTGCCTCTCCCATACCCTCCACTGGAGATCTGGCCTGCAACACAGACATGAGCCCTAACAGGGAATTGAATCAGTGACCTTTTGGTTTGCAGGCTGGCATTCAATCCGCTGAGCCACCACACCAGCCAGAGCTGAATTTTAAGTTTTAAAGTGTATTTAAATGTTTGACAAAATACAGTAGTCCATTAGAATACAATAAAACAGTTATTTTTAAAGTCCAATGACCACAGAAGCTCAGTAATCTATGTCTCACATAGCAACTTGGTGTATATGTTTGGGTGTCGATTTTACTTCCTTTGAGTCTTAAGGGGTTCTTGTTCCTCGCTGGAAGCCATGTGTTAAGTAAATAAGAGGAACAATTAATGTTCACTTAGTCCCTAGACAAATTTGTATAACATTCACCTCTTTGCTACAAGTTGGATAATGTAATGTACTCAAAACTAAATACACCTGTAAGTACCACTTTTAAAGTTTAGGAATCCTTTATGTCCTAGACCATTGTTACTCAAAATGTAGTGCACATGACGATCAGAGCCAGCATCATCAGAGATCTTGTTGGAAATGCAAATTCATAGCCTCTCTTCCCAGGCATTTGTGTCAGAATCTAGGTGGTGCAGCAGGAATCTAATGTTATGAATAACTCCAGGTGATTCTTTGTTTGGACCATAAATTTTCAGAAACCACATAATTAACTCATAATTATATTATGTGCCCATAGGCCTGACCCTATAAATACAATTTAAGCTATAATTTTGTATCAGATGTTTTAAGGAAGTATTTATTAGGTCTATCTTCTATACTATGTTTGGATAAATGCTTTGGAAATTATTGTTATTCTCTGAATGGAAAACAAAACATTCTAAATGTTTTATTAAGGCCAATCAAGTCCAATTCAATTTAATCATTCTGATATTTTTTATTGATTTCTATGCCTTTTAGATATATAGCTGATTCTCAATGTGAAACAAATCTAATCTATAGTATATTTTTAATGGAAAAAAGTTATACAAAGTTCAATAAGTATTAAGAGAAGTTTGATATTTTAAAGGTAAACCCTGCTTTAGCCATTTTGAAAATGTAAAATGGATTTCTTCTTTCCTCTCTTCATTACCTACTTACTGAACCTTCTTTCTTCACTCATTTACTTCTTTGGTGATATCTCTCAAGCCATGTTGAAAGGCAGTATTCTAACAGGTCTATGGTATTACAGCCTACTGAACAATATGTGAACTAGTGATTCAAAGGCACTACCAAGCAGCAACATCATAAAAGAAAAGAAAGAAAAAGCCTGCCAAGGTAATAAAAATAGATGCATAATAATACACAGAATTTAAACCTATATTTAATTTAACTTACCCATATTTCAGGTAGGGACACAAAAGTATAGGTGTTATTCCACACATCATTTACTGCTTGAAAATGTTAGGAAGTGTGGGGATTATGTGTGACAGAAGGAATCAAGAACAGGGGACTCTAAAGACAGGAGTACCTTTGTATGTTTCTCATGGTTTGATCCTCCAGGAATAGGTGGACTTAGAATATCGATGGACCTGAACTTGTGCTGTTATTGTATAATTAAGTAAAACAGGTATCATAACTTCTATAACCAAACACCACACTGTATGAAAATGCCAGGGTCTTTCAATGAAGGGAACAATTCAATAAAAAGTGACTGATACAATACAAATGTGGTATTAAATTGGTGGTATAAAGATACTATCTCCAAAAGGGGGTTTATGATGATATTTATGCTGGATTTCATATCTCCTTCTCCTTTTCCCTGTTATTTTTCTTTCTCATCTTTCTCCACTTTCTCCCTCCTTTCCTGCTTTTCATCTTTTACTTCTCCTACAATGAAAGTATGCTCAAGATTATATGACATAATCTGGATGTTTATTTATTTAACTAAAACCCAGCTTGTATTATATTCCTGTAGAGTCAGAAGAGAAGCAGGCAAAAGACCAAACCCTTTGATAACAGCAAAATAATGTGGGACAAAAATAGAGATCCCGAAAATCTCTCAGAAAGGAAAGAGGAACAGAAGAGGGAAAAAATTCCAGACATCAGTGAATTGTGTAAGCCGAGTGTGAAATATCAGAAAGGAAGGTTAATGTTCATGAACAATTTATACAGTAACCTTGGAGATTGCTTAAGGTTCTTAAACTACAATTTTCTTAGCTACAATAGATATAATCAAGTAGGA